AATTTTTATTTAATACATATAAGAGTCCATAATAAGTCATATAACTAATCAAATATTTAAATTTCATAACATAAATATAAATATAAATAATTTTTTGTACTTTGTTAATTTTTCATGTCAAATTTCATAACAGAAAAAAGTTATTTATAAATTATTTCTTTTATATTTAGTTAACAAAATAAAATTAAGATTTAAAAACAAAAGAAAAATGTGTCCGAGCGTTGACCGCGTGTCAAAAAAAATTGATTGCGTGTCAAAAAAATGTGTCGAAGAAATGATCGTGTGTCCCCAAATATTGACTGCGTGTCGGAACGTGTCCTCAGACACGTGTCCGACACTCAAAATAAAATAAAAAAATAAAAAGAGCGTGTCGGTGCTATATAGCATACAGGAGACGGTGCCGTAAATTGGTTTTGAAATTTTCATGCTAACCCCTAGTGACAATTGAACCAGTTGGCAGATTGGTGTAACAGTTTAATGTTGTTCCTCCCAACAAAGTTGGGAAGGTTCTACACATTAAAACACCTTCCCTATGCAGCGTCATAAGTCCAAGGGATATGTGTCACCTTCATAAGTGGAGCTATTAGTGGGGCCTTTAAACTCCAAGGGAATGGGGCCAAGTGCACTGCATCATTCAATGGCTTGTTTCGCCTGGAGAGTGCACTTGGAGTTCCCAAATGCACTTGAGCTTAATGGTGACGAATTTGTTGCTAGAATTGATGATGGTGTTAGTGTCGTTGGTTGGGACAGGGTAAGAGGGAATCTGTTGTCCGATAAGTGTTGACGGGGATAGGGAACAAAGTTTGTTCTCGTAGAGAGCTAATACTTGACCATCTGGGGTGGGTGCTCTAAATTATTGGGTTCTCCATGTCTGAATCACTTTCGTTGAGGAATCTAGATTTTTTGGTGAGTAGTTTAGCTTTGCAAGCAGAGAAATGAGGCTCAAGTTTATCATTTCTCACAAACAATGCTAATAAATTGTTTGGCGGTGAGATTATATATTTTTTCCTTTAATACGGTGAAGAATCTCGAAGTAATAATGCTCTTAGAGGCAGTAATATGGAACAAAACTCTATGATGGAGTCACTGAAAGCATCTTAGGCGAAGGCTCATAGAATGGAATAGTGTAAATGACACGGTGACCATGTATTTTAGCAAAATGATAGCTCGTAAAATGATGGATTCATGATGCCCCTTCAACGGGTAAAAATGGGATATTTATAGGTGGATCCTAATCACGAGATAGTCATAATTGTTTTGTCAAATGGGCCCACTATGAGCATAAGGTAGCCCCTATTGAACAAGAAATGAGGTGAGCTAATGCATGGATAAGAGGAGATTATTTATAGTGAAAGTGACCACCATTTTTTAGGTGGTTTTTTAGTGTAAATAAGAGGGTAAAATTGAAAAAGAAAAAAAATAACAAGGATAAAAAATAGAAAGAAAAAAGTAATGATGTAAGAAGGAGTACCAAAAAATTCAGTGGTCCTGAATCATATTAAATATTTTCAGATAAGATAGGAGATTCTAAATGTGTCATTTATGAAATTAAGGGAGTGATCCCTTAAATAAACTTTGGTGGCCTGTCCATTGAATTGGGCCAGTATGACTGGTTTAGCAAAAATTGTGATTGCTATGATTGTCTCGCCGCTTTTTACACCATAGGGATTGATTCAACTATCCAACCTTTGAATGTTATGATAACATTGTCAGTATTCAACGGAATGCAACTGATAGCCATTTCAAGCAAGTCGCTAAGGTGCTCTACGGAACACGTACCCAATTGCAGAATAACTTCCAAGTTAGAATAAAGAGAGAAGCTTTGGCAACGGTAAAAGCTAAGAAAGAAAATTGGGCTAACTAAATTGAAATTTCAGCCGTTGCAAGGTTAATATAGTGCGTGGATTGAAATTGGGCTAACTAAATTTAAAATTGCAGATCGATGAAGAACTCCATTGGATTGTGTTAGAGGACAGACAATTTAGATGGATATGTGATGGATAAAAGGAGACAAAAGGATCACAACTTGCGTGGGGATCAAATTGACTATGGTCGAATTTAAATTAATAAATAATGATTGATTGAATTCATTTATTTTAAAGTTAAACATAACCCAAATAAAATTTTAATTTTCTATTTATAAACTGAACTTAGATTAAATTTGAGTTAAGTTGGAACGAGTTTTGCTAAAAAATTTCAACCAAACTAACTTTGAAGTTTGAAACAAATCCACCAACATCACGTTCTAGACTTTTGTTGTTGAGAAGCAATAATATAACGTGGGTTTGGTCCTTAATTTTTTCGTGATCCATATAATCCTCTCAAATCACAATTGAAGTCACTGATCGATTTGAGTCACCAAACTCATGGCATGTTGACAGTGTATGTCAATTTCCATCTCTTGGTCATTATTTTGTACTAACATGATAATCATCCCCATCAACTACAATGATCTTCATTCGTTGAGTACCTTTTATTTATTTAGTGTTTAATTCAAGTACACTCATCTGGCTTCAGCTATAAACATCATTGATATTGTACTATATGTTCCAATAAGGCCAGTTGTTTTGTCCATGGGTCCATGATCTTGGCCCAAGAAAAGCAGTGCTGGGTCCATGATCTTGGCCCAAGAAAAGCAGTGCTCTAGAACTCCAAATATATTCTCTACAAAGTGGGATGAGATATTTGATCGGGCCAGCCAGAGCTGCTAATAGGCCCAAAAATTAACCCACATTTGGTTTCGATTCCACAATTACCATCAAATGGTTTCTGTTTAACTATCAAGTATGTGTATCAACGTTCAACTGGTAGGGTATTATTTTAACTTAATTAGTAGTTTCAAGTTTGACTTCATAGGAACACATTTGGGCTTTTTGACCCTTATAACCCTTTACTAATAATTAATTACCAAATTGACCTTCATTATAAACTATTTCAAAAATTTAACCCACTCAAAAAACATAACATCAATCTGCCCCTGTTTAACCGTTGACCACGAAGCCTACCCGGGTACACCCCTACCTACCCGGGTATCTTTTGAAATTTTTTGTTTACCCGGGTAGAAAGGTGTGTACCCGAGTATTGTTCTTGATTGTTTGAATTATTTACCCGGGTATGGATGAGTGTACCCGGGTAGATCTTGTATGAAATTGACAAGCACAAACTTGGTAATAAAGCACAAGTCACAAGTACAGAGTAACAAACTTGGTAATAAAGCACAAGTCACAAGTACAAAGTAACAAATCAGTGTGATAGCATGCCAGACAAGCAGTATGGCTATGAATTGGATAATGTGTAATGGGTCAATGTGGTTCCAGGATCCCTGAAATCCTCAGATTTTAAGCTCATTCACTATTCAAAATGATATGAAATGTGAAATGGAAGTGAAGTGGAAGTGAAATGAGTGAAATCCATTTAGCTAAAGCAACATCTTCGAACCTTGTGAAATGGGAGTGAAAACACAAGATGCTTTCATATATTGTTTCCTTTGTTGCTTACCAGTGTCCACAATGTTGCCAATGGTGCCAGACACGGTGACCTAGAATTGGATCTGATATTTGTGTTTTGGGTGCCTTTGTTGCTAAAGCCTCCCTTTTATAGATGGAGGCAGGAGAATCACGTGAACACAATTTTTTATTCTTTTTTGCGTGGCTTCCCAGATATTAGGTAATGACTTTTCACTGCTATCAATAATTGAAGGGTTGTTTACTTTACAAGATCTACCCGGGTACACTCATCTGTACCCGGGTAAATAATTCAAGCAATCAAGAACAATACTCGGGTACACACCTTTCTACCCGGGTAAACAAAAAATTTCAAAAGATACACGGGTAGGTAGGAGTGTACCCGGGTAGGCTTCGTGGTCAACGGTCAAACAGGGGCAGATTGGTGTTATGTTTTTTGTGGGGGTTAAATTTTTGAAATAGTTTATAATGAAGGTCAATTTGGTAATTAATTATTAGTAAAGGGTTATAAGGGTCAAAAAACCAACACATTTGTGTTAAAACCTAACAGTGAGAGCTTTGTCGTCCATATTGTTGTATTCAGCTCGAATCAGACTAATCTAGTAATTAATAACCAGACACTGAATGATAATATAAATAATAATAATAATTTTCATTTAAGCTTGATCCATGAACTGGGGAGCTTCTTTGGTTTGGTACTACGGTAGTACTAACATCTTTTCTAAAAGAGGTAAAGTATTGGGATTTGAAGGAAATTATGATTAAATGATATTTTGAATTAGTTTATGTATATCGCGCTTAATTTATCTTCATAGTAAAAACCATTTTCACTTCACAAAAAGAAAAAAGATTTTGAAAAAAAATAAAATAGAAAAAGGTTTACTCAATCATTGATTTCAAATTGATCCAATGATAATCAAATTGATAATAAAAATAATAAGTAAGACTGACCCGCCACAAAGAAATAATTAAGGTTGTTATACTAAAAGAAAAAAAAAATTGGTGATAAATATAATCGCCCCTTAAAAGAAAAGAAAAGAAAGCTCAACTATCGATAGAAATGTGAACAAAATTTTAATGTATGGTAATTATTATTATTATTTGGTAAATAAGATATGTAAATTTTATAGCTCACATTGTTTTATAAATGGATTACTCATCTCCTATTTGCAAAAGGACACAGTGTTATCTGCTATGCATAAGTTTCATTGATTTTAGAGCAAAACAAAATAGGAAGATGAATTTTACATTGCTTTTATATTCCTTCATGTAAATTTGTCATCGCTTGAAGCTGTGTTTGAGTGTCACAAAAAAGAAAAGGAATGACATGATTGTGGTTAACCATGTCAAGAGTGACAATTGATTTCTGGCTGTTCATTTTGTTGTAACTTGCATCTTATCTTTTATATCCTGTTTTGACATCTTGTGAAGTGATAGAACAATTTACAAGGTAGTTTTGGAGTACAGCTAGCCTATTTCAGTAGAGCTGAATTGCTCATGAACATTGTCCACATTGAAGAAGAAGGAGAAGAGGTGCTAATGATGTGAATTGATTTCTGGAACCCAGTGGTTGATGTGATCAATTGTGGAAGGAGGTGTGTTTGTCTCAGAGAGTGAAAATGGCCTTGAAGGTTGGAGAAGCATGAAGTTTCCACCCTGAGAACTTGAAGATGATGATCTGTTGAAGTAGCTTGTTAGGCATCCTTTCCCATTTTGGTTCAAGAGATTGGAAGAAGCATTTTGAGTATGCTCCCCAAGTTTCAAGCTCAAGCCAGAACCTAAACTCATTCCTCCACCCTGGTTCCCATTGGTAGATCCTTGTCCCCCTAAAGATGAAACTGCAGCAGCTATTACAGACTGAAGACTTGGGTCTGTGCTAATTGCTTTGGTTAGTGTTTCTTCCAAAACATCCCTGAAAGGAGTTTGGTTCTTGATGCAGTGTTGGTAGATATGTTCTTGAAATTGGTTTCCTAGATTAACTGGCCTCATGTGGGTTTTCTCTATAGGCATAGTGCCATTGTTAGGAGGTCCCTGGCCCCAAAAGGATGGTGGGATGTTGGGTTCTGGGTAGCAAAAGCTTAGATTTGATGGAGGGAATCTTGGGCTTGAAGCAAAACTTGAAGGTAAACAATGGACATGAGTTGATGAGGAAGTCATGTCTAGAGTGATTGTTGGGAACAAATTAGAGGTAGGGGTTGGAAAGAAGGACTGTTTTGCTCTTGATTGACCAAAATGACTGAAATTCAGACCATTGAACAATGTAGGAGCATTTCCAAAAGATGCAGAATTGTGACCTGTAGGATGAGATATTGAAGAACCTGACAACAGCATGGATACAGCAGCAGAAGTGGTTGAAGCCATGGCTGTGGCTGAAACTGGAAGTGGGTGGTTGTGTGTTCCTTCATATGTTGTGATTAAGATGGACATGTCCTCAGAACATCTTTGCACCTGTAGTCATGCATTAATTATATCTTAATCAACTTCTTCAATTTGTACATAATTAACCGGAGCATAATCATTTTACACCGGTATGAATTACATTATCAATCTTAATCATTAATTTCACTTGCATATAACAGCTTACATAACTAATATCTTGAAACCATTAGATGCAAGTAAATCAACGCTTAAGATTAAGTATAAGACTTCTTATTCTTTCACACGTGTAAAATGATTTTGCACCTAATTAAATATATAATGCTAATGCTTACCTGTTTCCTGACTGGGCATGCTGGAGCAACTGTGCAACGATAGTAAGCCCTTGGACATGGATTTCCTTTTGCTATCTTCTGTCCATATTTCCTCCACTGGCATCCATCAATCATCTGCTTGAAATATATAACTCTTACTATTACACAAGAAAATACTACAAAAGCTATTGAAACTATATTTTGATAAAAAGCCTTCAAGAAAACACTAGAATGATTGGTGGTGACAAGTAATGGTAATAGATTTTTTTAACAACACTAACCGTGGGAGTATCACATCTAGTTCTTACACAAACTCTAGCTCTCTTGGTGGGTGTTAGCTCTGAAATTTCGTCATCACCATCTTTAGTCCTTGCTGACTTGTTTGTTGAACATGTTCCACCTGCTTCTGCTTCCTTTAGTTCTTCTGAGTTGTTCATGGGGCTGAGATCAGATACCAGTTCCATTGATGACAGAGTTTTGGAGTCCAAACCAAGGGTAAGGTTGGCTTCCAAATCTTCTTTTTCTTTAGGTTTGCTTGAGTTACCAATTATTGCATCCTTTTTTGGCTCCCTTGGACTTCTTCCGAGAGAAAGTGACACAAGCATAGGTTCTTCCACTTCATCATGGGAAGGAGCTGAATCTTTTACACTTTTCTTTGAAGTTTCTCTCTGAAGGATGTCAAAGAAACACAATTGAAGAGAGTGGTAATCCTTTTCAACTTGCTCCAGCATCATCTTCAATCTTTCATTTTCTTCTTTCACCTCACCCATCTCAGCTTTAGCAGATTTCAGTTTATCTTCCTATTTTTCAAAAAACAAATGCATTATGTACAATTAGTCAGTACAAATTCTTCCTGAATTTATGAATCACAAGTTCAATAGCAAAAGACATTATGTATATTTCAGGGCTAACAAGTAGGTATGAAATTAGAATAAAAGCTTCCTTTTTAATTCTTATTTGTTTGTCATATTTTATGCCAAAGCCAAACTATAGTAAAATATGGCCTATTCCTTTTGCATCTTCCTTCAATTATTTATAGAAAGGTAGATCTAAATTTAATAGATATGGTGTAGAGGTAATATTGATGAAACATCAAGTTCCATCAAGCAAATTGAAGGCATAAACATTTAGATCTCTTACAGTATTCTATTATGCAGGTATTGTTGTTCCACCTTAATTAAGAAAGGCTGAATTTTTATGCTTTATGACTTTACTTGTAACAAAGCATATGTTTGAATACAACAAAAATATATTATGGATTCAGAGGAGACCAAAACTCAACTTCTGGATTTAAGTTATTACATGATTAAATATTATTATATGATTTCTAATCAAATTCTCTAATCAGATACTTGATTTATAAGTTTGCATTACCTGAATAGCATTCTTTGTATGTATATTAGCCAATTCTTTAAATAAAAGTTTAATTGGGCATCATTATACCAATACTTATAGCCGTGGTATCCATATCATGGTATGATGCCAAGACATCCTGAGAAATAGCATACTGAAAGAACTATTCAATTAAAGAGGGAAAGCCAATTTGTTACTTCTATGGTTTAATTTGTGACAAAAGCTAAGGTTGTGCACTGCTGTTTGATTTATTGCATCCATTTCAAGAACCCTTAAGAATAATAAAAGCATAATCATTCTAAAAAAAAAGAAAAAAGTTTCAAAAGAAGAAGGAATTGGAGCTGCAAAGAATTGGCATACCTTACTACCCTCTTCAGTAAAGCAAACCTTTTCTGAGCAAATAGAAGTAACTTTACTCTCATCTATCTCTTGACCACAAAAACTAGACATATTAGCCTCCATTACTATTCTCCACTAGACCTACTTCAAACTCAAATAAATCCATATGTATATATATATATATGCTATTAATAACACATACCCTCTTATGAACCAATCAAATCTATGCTAGACTTTGATATATAAACAAATTCAGATTCCAGTGCTTATCCACCTCCTACTACGCAGCCACCCCTATAATGTCAACACCAATGCTAAGCTCACTTATGAGATTTTATTATTGAAATGATTAAATTTAATAATATGGTCTCGGAAATCTAAGTCATCAATTGAGTTTTAGAAGGAGAAGAAAACTGAATTTCAGCACACAATAGGACTTGGTTCCAGTGTAATAAAAACCGGACCGACTCGGCCGGTTCTACTGGTTGGCCCGAACCCTGCTCATTAGAGTGAGGAGCGCCTTCTCATACCACTAAGCCACCATTACTGGTTAAATAAAATACACCATTTAATATATTTATTATATAACTATTAAGTTAAGAGAATTATTTCAAAAATTGCACCTAACGGAGTTCGATCCCCTTCCATTAAGGTTGTTCAACATAGCAAATACCACTAAATTACATCAGGTTATTATTTAGATGGCACAATTTAAAATATTTATTATATAATTAAGTATAAAATATAAATTTATATATATATATATATCCAGTTCATGTAATTCAACCAGTGACCCACCAATTGAACCATTGACCCAGTATCTCAACCACGCGTTCAAAGGTTGAAGTTTTGTACACATCAAAGGACGTCACATGGCTAAGCGGTCAAAGTTGTTAAATGTAACCGATTGGGCTAAGAGTCTTTGTCTTTGGTGTATCCTTCATTCACTTTCAACCACGCGGTCCATAAAAAGAGTGTGTTGGTTCTACATGATTGCACTGCTTGTTCACTGACATCCAACTGCTTTGGAGGAAAACAAATGCTAGCAGGTTGCGGGGTTTGAATTCTGTTTTTAAAAAAAGTTTTTTAATTAAAAAAAAAAAAAAAAACTTGTTTTGATAATAAATATAGTTCTGAAAATTATAACTATTTTTAATTTTTAGAATTAAATTTAGATAATATATTTCAGTTTTTTTATTTTATTTTTTGATTTTTAATTTTTAATTTTAAAATAAATAAAAAATACAGAAAGTACTCATTTCATTAACTATTTTATATAACAGTTTAAAAAAATAAGCAAAACTCAATCAAAGAGGCCCTTAATTTTTTATTGTAATTTTCACTAAATGATATGTTTCACTCTTTATTTAATGGGATTAATTTACTGCATGATGTAGATTGTATTGGAATATGGGTTAAGTGTGGTGTACTTTTAGTTATTTATATATGTATGACCGGACAGACTTTGTGTTATACGTCAACGATATGACTGGAGATAGAGAAAAAAAAATAACTTTTCATATTTACATGAAATCTGACCGGTCAAACTTTGTGTAAATCACCTAAAAGGACACAAGCTTGTGTCTTTTTAAAAGATACTTTTTTTTCCCTTGGAATATATATATATATATATATATATATATATATATATATATGGGTTCGCTTTTTCTGCAGTAAGTCCAATACGACGTTGTTTTGGCGCGAAAATCATGGTATTTTTGTAATTTTAATTTATTTCAGGATTATAATAGTCTTTATATTTATAATTTTTTAAGATTTCAATACCAAAACAACGTCGTTTTGAAAATAAATGCAGATAATTTATCTCCATTAACTGCAGAAGCATTTTTATATATATATGAGAAAAATATTTCTCAAGTTGCTTGAGATATATTTATCTCTGGTCATCACAAAACTACGATGTTTTGTTTATCTTAGCTTGAGAAACAATATATATGTATATATATGGGAAAAATATTTCTCCGGCAACTTGAAATAAGTTTATCTCCGGCTTCCCCAAAACTACGTCGTTTTATTTATTTTTTTCTTATATTATTTTATTCACCTTTGAATGGTTATAATTCTCTTTTTCTCTCTGGGCTTATCGTTTCTCAAGCTCTTTGAGATAATTTTATCTCTGACTACTAAATCATAACCGTACAAAGATGGATCAATGATAGTAAAGGAAGAGAGATAAAATTGGAGTAATAACCATGAAAGATGAATCAATTAATATAAATAAATAAATAAATAAAACAACGTAGTTTTGGGTTGACGGGAGATAGATATATCTCAAGCAATTTGAGAAATATGTTTCTTATATATATATATATATATATATATATATATATATATATATATATATATATATATATATATACAGGCATAGGGGTGTAAATGGGCCAGGCTGGCCCAGCCCGGCCTACATTGAGCCCAGCCCAGGCCCAGCCTTTTAGAAAAATAGAGTAGGCTTAGGCTTAGGCTTATAAAAAAGCTTTTTTAATAAATAGGCCATAGGCCAATTTTGTCAAGCCCGGCCTGCAGCCTTGTAGGCTGGCCTATTTAATTTATTAAAATAAATTAATAAAATAATATTTATTTTATGTGGCAAAGATACAAAGTACCAAATACCAATATCTATTACTTTTTGTGCTATTTTATTTTATGAAAGGAAAACTTGTCTAATGTCTCCAAATTTTACATGTTGTTGCAGCTTAATACCATGGAGCAATGGGTACCTTGCTGGATTATGATGTTACTGATGAAGATCTTTCAATATTACTCTTCTTTCCCTTGTCTTGATGGTGGTTTAAAGATTTTTAGATGAATGACATTCTCTTGTAGACTTTATTTCAGCATCTAGTAATTGTATTTTTCTTATTTTTCCCATTTCTTTGACTCTATTCCTCTATGATATATATTCTAGAGGTGAGGTATTATGTTGACTCTTCCTTGTTGTTATTTTTTCTTACGAGAAGTACTAGTGCATGCATGAATGAAACTTTCTTTGCTCTATATAATTATTATTTTTGCTTAGTATATATAGTGGGAGGCCTACAAGGCCTGTAGGCCATGTTAGGCTTTCTTATTTTTGAAAATGGGCCGGGCTTGGCCTACAAATAAAGCCTTTAATAGGCCAATAGGCCATATAGGCTGAATTTTTTTTGTCGTAGGCTTGGGTCAGGATGGCCAAAGCCCAGCCCAGCCCAGCCCATTTACACCCCTAGGCAGGATCCTTTGACACCAGTGTCAACTTTGAAGTTTGACACCTTATCTGAGAGCCGTTAGATCAAAAAAGATCAACGACTCTGATTTGCAAGCATGTGACACCATTGATCTTTTTTGATCTAACGACTCTCAGATGAGGTGTCAAACTTCAAATTTGACACCGGTGTCAAAAGATCCTGCCTCATATATATATATATATATATATATATATATATACACACACACACACTTAGAAATCACTCAAGCTCAAAAGTCACCAAAAACAAGGTAGGTCTTTCCGCATTCTAACATGATTGTCAAGTGTGAGTTTATGAATTCCCACTTCATCATTTGATACACTTTAGGGTGTGTTTGGTACAAGAGAAATTTTTTGGTGACCGGGAATCATGATTAATGGGAATTCAGTAGAAATTGAGTTTACTTGGAATCTTACGAAAGAGGTGTTTGGTTCGCCAAAATATTACTGGGAATATTGAGTAAAAATTACTGATTCCATATTTGGTTTAGAACGAAATATGACTTGGAATATGAGGTTATTTTACAAAAATAACCCCAAACTATTTTTACTTTTGTAATTGATAGATTGGGTCTAGATTTTTATGTGTATTGGGGTATTTTTGTCTCAAAATTTATTGTTGTGCTTTCTCTTTACTTGGTATTCTGATTGGTATTCCGAATTACCATATTATTTTTGGTAATCTGAATAGTGACTTTTCTTTATAAATCAAATTACCGGTAATCCTTGGATAGCCGGGAATCGTAATTTATTCCTTCTACCAAACGTGGTAATTACATTTACCAAAGAAGGATTACCGGTAATCATCGTCAAAAACTTGAACCAAACACCCCCTTAGAGTCATTATTGTCACAAATACATTTGCAAATTGTAGATTCCAATTAAACGTGGTAGGTCTTTCCGTCAATGTAACATAAGATATTTAAAGGAGTCTATGGTTAACTCAATCTTGTTTAAAATATATGCCTCGAGCTGCCCCAAACTGTTTGTCTTGGGATCTGACTACTATACATACTTAAACCAATCCTGATATTTGCAGTGTACTTTTATTATTTTATTTTTATATTTTTTTAGATAATAAAATAAGAAAAATACATTTTTCAACGCTTATTTTATATTTATTATTTTAAATTAGAAAGAGTTTAAAAGTGATATAAATTTTTTAATGTAGAAATATCATTACCAATTTCATCCATTTGAAACTTAGCTTATTTAAAACCTCTTTCTAAAACTTGATGATGGCTGTTTTTGGATTATAATACAAATGTTGGTGTCACTACGGTAGTTAATTAGTCAATGTTGTGTATATGCATACATGTATAATATATGATTCTGAAGACCTATCTTTGAATCACTTAGCTATTAAGAAACTCAAGAGTTTTTAAGCTTGACGAAAGTAAAATATTAGATCCCACTCCTAAATTCCTAATTTGCTACCAACCATATACAATTATTTACTATGGGCTGGCCTTTGGCGTTGGAATCTTGTGTGTCAAATATTGAACCATGGTAAGAGACATATTTTTATTTTTATTTTTGTAAGTAGGTAAGAGTCATAGTAACCCTTAAATATATCAACTATAAGCATAGGAAATTATTGGAGGTGCCTCTTGGGTCCCTGTAGGCTTTTCTAGATTGGAGGTCAAGTTATATTTACTTATTCAGTCATCAACTGGTTTTACCCTTTCCGTTATATGCAACACTATTAAAGTTTTACAGAAACAGTCTTATTCAAAACCTTCAACAAATATTACTGGTCAAATGGTTAACTATCATCTATTTTTACACCTTTCAAATGGTTCAATAAATAATTATTGCTTCTATAGGTGTATAATTAGGGGTGTACATAGTTTGTTTAAGTTTCGGTTTTTTATATATG